TTTATTGAGGTGCTATTAACTAAAGATGTACTTGCAGCTTCTAGAATGGGATCTAGTAAGACTTTGACTTTTTTTTTTTTACCATCTGTAATAGACTTTGACAGATGACTATGGGTTCTGGTAATACTACCTATGAGAACTGATCTAGTTCTCAGGCCTTTGGGTTTTCCAAGAAGCAGGAAAGGATCATGAGCTTTTCAACAATCTCTTCATTGATGGAAAGGATCTGAGACAAGATGTTTGAGAAGATCAACCACATAAATATACTTGTTTGCATACAAGTTTGACTATTTGAACTCAAAGATGAACCAATAAGTGTTCATAACAACCTCCAAAAGTTAGGTTATAATGAAGAATCTTGGACATAGACTCAGCTGATAGTGTGAATGCAAAAATCTTCTTCCAAAACAGTTAACTTTGTTTTTTTCCAGGCAAAACAAATCAAATCTGTAAATGACCTTGTATGCTTGAGTTTGAAAATTTCTGAATATGTTTGGGTTGGTGAGAAAAGTAAACTATATCACCCCTGTCACTTTGGAACAAAACTACCTAGTTTGTGTGCTCTAGTAAAAAATTTGAATCTCATATTCCTTTTTGAGAAGCCATCTAAATAGGTGTATAATATATGTATTTTTTCCCAGTTGTAAAGAGGTTCGTATCTAAACCAGGTTTTCTTCTGCCTGTACTCTGGTACTTTTATTCTTGACTTCTGTGGTTGACAGCAGCAGATGAGAAAAGTGGAAGTCTGTAAGAGGTTTGTCTGCAAGGGTGCTAACAGTGTTCTTTGCTATAGATACTGCGACCAGGCTATTGGATAGGCAGGCCATGAACTGGGTTCTTGCGTTTGATTGCCCGGAGAATGCCAACTCATATTCATAGAGCAAATACACTTGCCAAGTAGATATGAAGCTTTATTAATTTTGCTTCCCTCAGAAGAAAATAAGGATGGTTCTTATTGAGAAGAAAGTGCCTATCCTATCTAATAAAAGACAAATAAGGTAATTAACCGTACCTCCAATACGCTTCCCACTGGCTAATCAGGGTGATATGCAAATTAACTGCCAACCAAGATGGCGGCCGGCAGCCACGCAGCTGAAGCGAACAGGAGGCTTGCTTGCTCCAGTGATGGAGGAAGCCAAGGTTCCCCGCCTGCCGCGGCCCGGCTCTGAGCCTGAAAGCAACAGCTCCGAAAGCAACTATATTTCAATTATAGAAGCTAAAAAAAACCCAGATACCTGCTTTCAGCCAGCCGAGGTCTCAGAGGTGGAGCTGCAACAGTGTTTCAATTATAGAAGCCAAACAAACCCCACATACCTGCTTTCAGCAGCCAAGGCCTCAAGCTGGTGCCGGGCCTCAGAGCTGGAGCCGGCTCTCAGCTCCAGTGACAGCTATAGAAGATAAATAAATCCCAGAATAAAAAAGAAAAAAGAAAAAAAGGAGAGGTTGGGAGCTTCAGTCACCCACCAGCCTGAAAATGGCCCTCAACCCCTCACCCAGACTGGCAAGGCACCCCAGTGGGGACCCCCACCCTGAAGGGGGTGCGACCAGATGCAAACAGCCATCAGCCCGTCATCCAGGCTGGCCAGGCACCCAAGCGGGACCCCCACCCTGATCCGGGACACCCTTCAGGGCAAACCAGCCGGCCCCCACCCGTGCACCAGGCCTCTATCCTATATAGTAAAAGGGTAATATGCAAATTGACCCTAACAGCAGAAAGACTGGGAATGACTGGTCACTATGACACACACTGACCACCAGGGGGCAGACGCTCAATGCAGGATCTGCCCTCTGGTGGTCAGGGCTCTCTCACATGGGGAGCTCTGCTCAGCCACAAGCCAGGCTAATGGCTGCCAGTACAGCAGTGGTGGTGGGAGCCTCTCCTGCTTCCTCAGCAGCGCTAAGGATGTCCGACTGCAGTTTAGGCCTGCTCCCTGCTGGCAAGTGGACATCCCCTGAGGGCTGCCGGGCTGCCAGAGGGATGTCTGATTGCCATCTTAGGCCCAATCTCCCGGGGAGCAGGCCTAAGCCAGCAAGTGGTCATCCCCCGAGGGCTCCCAGACTGCGAGAGGGCACAGGCCGGGCTGAGGGACCCCCCCCCCCCGAGTGCACAAATTTTTGTGCACCGGGCCTCTAGTAAGGAAATAAAAACCAATCCAGAGAAACTTATGGGAATCTAGAGGGGTGGGGGGGAGGAATACTGGAATCTTTTTTAGTCCAGGATTAACAATTAAAGAGCTCAGGGGTGTTTTGTTTGCTACATATGTTAGTATACCTGATGAAGGATGAAGAAATATTTGATTTGAACAAGTTACCTTTACCCAAATATGCTATGTCTCTTAGACTTGCTATGATAATTTGGATAAAATTTATCAGAAATTGCCCTGACCGGTTTGGCTCAGTGGATAGAGCGTCGGCCTGCGGACTCAAGGGTCCCGGGTTCGATTCCGGTCAAGGGCATGTACCTTGGTTGCGGGCACATCCCCAGTAGGGGGTGTGCAAGAGGCAGCTGATCGGTGTTTCTCTCTCATCGATGTTTCTAACTCTCTATTCTTCTCCCTTCCTCTCTATAAAAAATCAATAAAATATATATTAAAAAAAAATTTATCAGAAATTGTAGAAACAACTGACCAAAGAATTGTTAATGAGCTTAGGGCTCTATCCCTCACCAGGGAGAAACTGTCCATCCTTCAGTAAGGTGGGAAGAGACCAGAAGCAGGAGAGGACAGGGACAAACTGGCTAGTGGTATTATTAATGAAGGGGGTGGAAGAGGAGCAGGAAGAGATGCAGATGAGGGGAAAACGAGAGAGAAAGTAGTACAAATAAGAGGGCCTCAAACTCTATCTGCTCCTAATACTGATGAGCCCAGAAAATCAAGAAAGTCACAGGAACAAACAGAAAAAAAAGTAATGAAACATTTTAAGTGAATAAGGAAATAACATTTGCTGACAAAGGGAATTTGATTCACTGTTAGCCACCAATGTAGAAATCCATTGTGAAAGATACTGAGGAAAAGCATTATAGAAGTGTCAACCTTAATAAAGCAAAAGAAAGACTTCAAGAAGAGGACAGATTTGACAAGAAGATCATAGGAAGAAAGTTAAGACATATGGAGAAACCAGAAGAGAAGCCACCAAGAAGCAAGCAAAGGCCAAAGATAGAGGTCTGCTTTTTAGGGTTGGAGCGGTGATGATGAGGAATTTGTTCTGTCCGTTTTCAAATCCTGATAGAGAATTCTGAAGAATCAGTTATTGAAGATATGGAGAATGAAATTAGTGATGCTAGGAAGAAGGAGAGAATGAGATAAATGAACAACAATGAAGTAGAATAAGTAAGACAAATAAGTTACAAAAGAAAGAAAGCCAAGTGGGAAACCTAAGAGTCTTTGGATACAGGCCTGTCTTTAGCAAAGGAAAAGGAGCTTGTGTTGTATTTGCTCAAAAGTCAAAGCTAAATACTTCTTACTCTCTTCTTGAAACCCTTGGTTATGATTAAGTGGGCCAAAAGTAAAAAAAAAAAAAAAAAGAAGAAGAAAGAAAGAAAAGAAAAAGAAAAAGTTGGCTTTGGAACAGTTAAGTAACAAGTCTTGTGCTTAAAGGATCAATGTAACTTCAGACAAAAGTAATCATATATCTAACTCCCTTCTTTCCCCATCACAAAATATATTCAAAATGAGAGTGGATTATAAAAATTTTCTGATCCTGTTTCCAACATGAATGCTTTGGTACTAAATCCATTGCTTTATTTTACTGCCAAGTTATAGAGTACTTATCCCATTTTTAGAAATTCTTGACTTGCTTACTATACAGAATATACTAATAAATGGAATTGCTCAGATTTTTTAATGTATTTAATAATTCCACAGAGAAAGTATATGCTGGAGCAGCTCTAATAAATAACAAGTAGTTTTGAATTGAGATGATCAATAATAAGCCTATATCCCTCTTTTTTTGTTGTTAATCCTCACTAGAGGATATTTTTTCCATTGATTTTAGAGTGTAAGGGAGGGAAAAGGGGGAATGAGAAGAGATAAAGAGAGAGAGAAACATCGATGTGAGAGACCCACATCAATTGGTTATCTCCTGCATGCATCCCAATTGGAGTGAGGAACCTGCAACCCAAGTAGTGTCCTTGGCTGGATTCGAACCGAGGACCCTTTGGTGAGCATGGTCAACACACTAACCACTAAACCACATTGGCCAGGGCTATATCCCACTTTTAATAAAAGTACAACACTTAAAAACCTTTAACAAGTCTCTATTAAAAACAATAAAACATTACTGAAAAAAAACTAAAGAAGATTTGAATAAGTGAAGAGAGATGACATGTTTATGGATTGGCAGAATTAATTAGATGACAGTTCTCCCCAAATTGATCTATAAATTCAACATTATCCCTATCATAATCCTACAGGCTTTCCCCCCCCATATTGAAAAACTTATTCTAAAAGTTATATCGACTAAGTTACAATGACTAAGATAGTGTGTGCTGCTGTAAGGATCATAAATAAATCAATAAACAGAAAGGCCAAAATAGACCCACAGTTTATGGTAATTTAATTTTCAGCGAGATCCAAAGCAACCCAGTGGGGAAAGGAAAGTTTTTTAAATAAATAGTGCTGGAACAACTGGATATTTATATTGAATAAAAATAATTCTCAATTCCTACCTTGCCCCTTGCATAAAAATTAATTTGTGATAGATTAAATGTAAAAGCTAGAACCAGAAGGCTTTTAGAAAAAAATCAGAGAATATCTTCATGACTTGGGGGTAAGCAGAGATTTAAATGCAGAAAGCAATAACCATAAGAGAAAAAAAATTACAGACTAGACTTTATCAAAAAACAAAACAAAAAATGTATGCTCATCAAAAGTACCATTAAGAAAAGCCACAGACTGGGGAAAAAAGTATGTGCAAAATATATATTTGTCAGAGGGCTACATAGATTTAAAAATTTTTGCAACTTTATAAAAAAACAATCCAAAATAAAAATTTAAAAAAAGGCTGCCCTGTGGGTGCTGGACCTGAGGCTGCTGTGCTGCACCTGTGACACCAGGGCACAGAGGAAGTGGCTATTTCTACGCTCAGTGCTCAGAACAGTGGGCACTAAGAGTGGTTTGTAGCCTGACATTCAAAAAAGAAAAAAAAAGGGAGGGTAGGAGAGAAATTATTTGAAAAGCTACTTTTATAACATAGATACTCCATAGCAGGAGATATTGAAGTGGCCCACTAAACATGTGTTCAACATCATTAATCAGGGAAATGCAACTTCAAATGATACTGAGATACCCACCGAGCATGACTACAATTAAATAGGTTGATAACAACAAATGTTAGTAAGGATGTTGAGTGACTGAAACTCATACACTCTGTTAGATAGTACCACCTATTAGGAAAAAGATCTGGAAATTTCATATAAAGTTAAACATATACTATGTGATGACCCAATAATTCTACTTCCTAGGTATTACTCAG